GATAATAGTGATAATGGTGTTTGCTGGTGAAAATTAAAACAGCCAGCTTACTGACCACTTGGCAAGATTATGAGTGTTTTTAAACATTTTCCAATTTGAGTACTTTTTCTGTGACAAATTTGTGATAACAAATTGTAGGAACCCTGCATTTTGCATTAAAGATTACCTTTACTATTTCTGCAAAATATAAGCTTTTTTAAATAATAAAAATAAAAAATCATATTATATTTTAAGCACAATATTCATATTTCTTCACAGGTTTCCTACTAATATTGATGAAAAAAATCTTTTTGTGGATGAGCACAAAGTCCTATAATGGCTGACTTCTTTTTCAGTGGAGTATCTCAGTGAGGCTCAGCAAGGTTTACTCAAACTAAGAATGAGCGAATTTGTGTTTTAAAGACCTCTGCTAGTGTGGTCTCTGTGCTATCATGATATGGTTTAAAGGCATTTTTAAGGATTCATTAATCTTTAAATATCTCTTTAAATCACATAACGATAGCACAGAGATGGCAGTAGCACAGCAACAAGCATACTGAACAATTACAGTCATGCCTCGCTTTACGATTGCCCCGCATTACAATGAAACCACATTATGACGATGGTCTAAATGGGGTTTTTTCACTTTGCGATGATCGGTTCCCTGCTTTGGGAACCGATTCTTCGCAAAACAACGATTTTAAAACAGCTGATCGGCGGTTTCAAAATAGCCACCAGGTAAACAAAATAGCTCCCCACTGTTTTCTGGGACGGATTCCTCGCAAGACAGGAAGTGAAAATGGCTTTGACCCCATTGGAACGCATTGAAGGGGTTTCAATGAGTTTCAATATTTTTTGTTTGTTTGTTTGCTTTTGTTTGTTTGTTTGTTTGTTTTTGCTTTACGATGTTTTCGCTTAACAGCGCGATTTTCCTGGAACGGATTATCGCTGTTAAGCGAGGCACCACTGTAATTATCTAAGTGGATACCAAAACCAATATGTGGCATCTTTGCAGGCCACGCAATCCCTCCCCCCATAGCCCCCAACCCTTCCCAGCCTTTGTCTTGGATTTTAGCCATCCCATTCCTTGTCTGGAGAAGACATGGGGTGGGCAAAATGCCAACTAAGCTACACTGGCCTGTGGTTGGCTTGCCCCTGGAATAAATTCAGGTCTGTGCCCAAGGAAACTGCCATCAAAGGTAGGCCAGGAACCCGAAGACAGCATGGCCCACCTCTGATGCCACTGACACTTCTGCACCTCCTGCAACTGTCCACCCCTTGAGGCTCTGGGGCTGAATTCAATTTTAATAATATTTCCCCACCTGATGATATAATATTTTCAGGAAGTAAAAAAGTAGAGGTGATCTGATGGACTTGATGACCTTTGGGGTTCCTTCCACCTCTACAGTTCTATAACTCAGTTCTAGCCCACCCACAATACAAGGTAAGACAAAGCAGTATAATGTATTTCGTAGTGTTAGTCTGGTGAGGTACTTAAAGTCATCCCCTCTAGTTCAAGGGAGGTATAGGAGAACATGGCTTGGCATGTTCTGGGAATCCAGACGCTAAACAACCTCCCCCCAAGGACTCACTGCAGGCTGCTCTACTCCTTGAAGTACAAAAAAAAACCCCAGAATTTTGAAACAGAAAATCTCTGGATGTCCACTTCTGGTTTATTTTGGTAGTGGGAGGATTTTACTAAAAAACAGCCACTCCTTGAGGCTTTGGGGGGAGGGAGAGCATTCAAATCCCTTTTTTTTCTTTTTGATTAGGGGCTTCTGTGGCTAGAGATCAGGGAAGATTTTAAAAACAGAGTGTTCGACTAATTACCAATCCTAGGATGGAATCCTAATAAGGACGGTCATATCAAACTCATGTAACAATACTGGGTCAATACACCCTAACTGTTCAGGCAAACGATTTACTCTCTGAGCACTATTCTAACTAACCAAGATGGCTAAGGCTAAAGTAACACCAGGTCAGATGGTAAAGGTAGAGGTTCCCCTTGGCAATTTGTCCAATCGTGTCCAACTCTATGGGGCAGTGCTCTCCATTTCCAACACATAGAGCTAGTGTTTGTCTGAAGACAATCTTCCGTGGTCATGTGGCCAGCGCGACTAGACACGGAACACCATTACCTTCACACCGTGGTGGTACCTATTCATCTATTCACATTTAGCATTCTTTCAAACTGCTAGGTTGGTGGGAGCTGGAACAAGCGACGGGAACTCGCTCCATCGCGTGGATTCAAACTTACGACTGCAGGTCTTTTGACCCTGCAGCACAGAGGCTTCTGGGGTTTAACCCGCAGTGCTAAATCCAAACTTCTCTCAGACTAGGGAATATCCTCATCCTGACCTAACTTTTTGATTGTAAAAGTCAGCTGGAAGAGCTTACAATTTTGTATAACTTCACTCCTCCCTTTTTCTATCCACTTTTTGGTCCTTCTGCTAGCAGATCTAAAGCTGGAAGTGCAATTCTGCTGGCAGGCCCCTCTGTTGCCAGATCTCTGGTTGTGGCAGCCCAAAGACATTTCTGCTGGCATAAAGAGATCTTTGCCATCATAGGCAGCTTCTGCCTATTTCTAACTCCCTGCCACTTGGCAATCTTTGACTTAGGTCTGCACTGTTTGTTCACAAGCTTATTCAGATGTCACAGATTTCTACTGTAGCCTATACCTTTAATAGAAATATGTATCAAAAGTCAGATCATCCTTCAAATTCCACAACAGCTTCATGAGAACAGAAATATTTTTTGCATGCACCCTTGCAGCCTCATGACATTCAACACAGGACAAATCTCTGTACTGATTTCCTGGCTTGTCTGCATGTAGCTCCTCCTTCAACAACATAAATTAGGAAGACCACTTGCACAGAAATTCATTGGGCCACTTCTGTCAGGCTCTAAATTAGTCTGAGCTCACTATATGACAATATGATATGGTTTGCTACTCACATTTTAACAACCTTTTCCTAATTAACAACTAGCATAGTTTGATCTACTTTAATGAACAGCTAATTCTTCATGTAAAAAAAACATCTTGCTGCAATATAACTACAACATTTTTTTGACTAAGAACCATTAAATCATGCCATTTTCTGTTTTCAAAATCTAAACAACACAATCCATGAAGAGAAGACCACACTCGTGGAAATTCAGTGGCAACTAAGATGACGAATGGATTGCAGAAAAAACGACATGAAATACCAACATCCATCCACAAACCAGCTCTGTTATTCTCAATCTGTCCAAATGGGTGATTTACTGTGTGCTTGTTTTTCATGGTCACCAAATCAAAACAGTGTAATTTGTTTTGGACATGCTGTTGACAAACAGTTATAGATTACAAAGTGAAATGAAAACAGAGCATTTGTGCTATTTTTCTTTTCATTAGAATCAAGGTTTGCTCCAGATAAGAATATTAATTTGAACATAATCAAATATTTAAATATAAGCCTTCATTTTCCCAAGACTTGGGAAAAAAATAATTCCAACAGTAATTCCTTGCTCTTAACTCTTGCATAGCTCCTGTTTGAAAAATGCACACAAATCATTTCTGAAGTAGCTGATAGAATTTGTAGAACTGACATTGATGCTAGCTAATAATTTCAAGTATTGACACTATCTTGTTGCCAGTATTTCTTAGGCTTATGACTTGCAAGTCAGGATCATTCCTATGTACATCCCCACAGGTCAGACACTCAACTAAAATAGGGTAGGGAACACATTGTTCTCCTGATGCTGACCACAAGTTCCTGGTCAACAATGGCTATGAATGATTCCAGTTGCTGTCCAAGAAGGAACAAGAAGCACTGGTACATCCAACAAATCTGATTCTGAAGAAGGAAGGATGTAAGAAAATAAATTTCCCTTTATTTCAATTTAAAATTGCCCAAAGCGTTTCATGCTGAATTTATGGTCTTCTTTCAGAAGTTGTACAAGTAAAACAAAAGGAGGAAACAAAAAAGTGGGACACATTTCTGACACCAGTAAAGGCATGCCAACCTGCCAACCTAGCAGTTCGAAAGCATGCAAATGTGAGTAGATAAATAGGTACCACCTCGGTAGGAAGGTAATGGCATTCCGTGTCTAAGTCGCACAGGCCACGTGACGATGGAAACTGTCTACGGACAAAACGCTGGCTCTACGGCTTGGAGACGGGGATGAGCACCGCCCACTAGAGTCGGACACGACAGGACTAAATGCCATGGGGAATCTTTACCTTTACCTTAAGGCATGGCACTCTACATTTCCCATATTTAATTATATACATTATTTTTGATGATTGTTTACAACTCAGACCGCCTTATTAAAATGTAACTGATAAAACAGTAAATACAGAAACAAAGAACAACTGACTTAAAATGATAACATTTTATCTGTCTACTGAATCTGAATGACAGCTCCCGAAATCTCCCGGCTCAGCAATGGCCACATTTCCACGTTGAATTATCTAAAGCAGGGTGGGAGAAACTCTTCCCTCAGCATATATGGTCATATTCTATCTCCCATGGGGCCCTGGTTAAAGGAAAAGGTTGATAGGAATATTATTCCCTTATCATCTGGTGGCCACAGCTTTAAACTAATGCCTATTCTATTCCTAAAAGAAAGGTTACAAAATCCACATATTCTAAAGGCAACTGGGGTACTGAATCACAAGGGGGAGACTGCATTGCCTCCCTTTCATATTCCTCTGTCCCTGTTTTTAAACAACTATCTTTTCATTATTCAGCTTCACAAGCTATACAAATGGGGCTTCTGGATTCCTAGCAATGATTCCTACCAATATAAAGGTAATAATTCAGAACCTTAGCTATTCCAAATATTTCAACTTTATATTTCCAAACAGAGGAAGGCATCCAGATGTTACCCATCACACCACTGTTACCTTGAGACGTATTGGGCTTAAACGGTGCTGTTCCAGGACTTCAGGTTACTCTGGATCTCAGTCACCAATGACATTTTCCTTGTTTAGCTTTTGCTTTAGTGTTTGTGTTTCTGTTTTTCAATAAACCTCTTACCATCCAAGCTGTGACAAAGTCTCCCATCCAGGTCCCCACTGCTGCTACCTTCATAAAATTTTCATTCCTGATGCCCATGAAGTCTGTTATAATGTATGCCCTGTAAATGCAAGCACAGAGACTGTGAGTTACAGACAGTCATTTACTACAAAAATATAGACGACTTGGATTTTCTGGCACAGGGAAGGTGCTGGGAGAGGAGGTGCTATTTCAGCTGTCAATATCAAGACTGCCTTTGCTGTACAGTCTTACTTATCCATTTGTTTATTGCATGGCTCTTTCTATCATGGAAAGCAAGGTGGCATATGGGGGTGGGGGGAATAAAAGGTGTCTCCCATCCAGGCAAAAGGCATATCTATACCTGCTATGGTTTATCAAAGTGCCAGTACTATGCAAGTGGCAAATCATACAACACAGACAGCCTAAGATAAGGAATTCCTTATATGCTGAACACCTCTGTGTATCACAGCAGACATTTTTCATATACACTCCAGGTTGTAAATTTGTTTGCTTTGGTTTTGTTTATTGATTTGCAAATGCAAGCATGCTTTCTTTTCCCTTTTTTTTGCAAGTGCTTTCTTTTCTTTTATTTTTTTATTTTTTTATTTTTTTTTTTGCAAGTGCTTTCTTTTCTTTTCTTTTCTTCTTTTTTTCTTTTTTGCAAGCATGATTGCTTAGTTACAAAGATCTGCCTGGTCCATGGCTCTGGGACACAAACATGTTTTAATGATGACCTACCTGTAAGTTTGGCTTGGATCCAATATCCTAGAACCCCTTATAACACTAATCTCACTCTCCTCGCTCTCTGCATCTAAGTTTCACTGGGTTCAACATTGCTTGCGTTCATGTGAGTTATGTCTCCGTTTTGTGGCCTGAGGCTACAGAAACAAGGTTACAGTCCTGTGTGCACACGTCCAGGAGTAAACATCACTGATGTCAATTGAATTCAGTGCTGAGTACAAATGTGAAGCATTTGCTCTGCAAACCTATACCTAGCAAATATGGAAAAGTCACTTTTTGTGGTCCATGCTGGCTGGGCCATTCTAGTTGAGGGTTTCTGTGAACTGTCCTCTTAAAAAGTACTGTATTTTTTGCACCATAAGACGCACTTTTTTCCCCTCCAAAAGGGGAGTAGAAAGTCTGTGCGTCTTATGGTGCGAAGGTGGTGACTTCGCCCTCACTGGCCTCGTGGGGGGGAGCGTCGCAAGGGTCCGAGGGAGCCTTCCAGGACCCTTGCGATGCTCCCCCACCCC